ATTTGATAAATATCTTAAGCATAATTTTCCACAAGCTACTCTTTTTTTGTTAACAATTACCACACAATGCATGAACCAAGAGGTGAAAAGTACCGAATGTACTTAGTTTATTTATAGCATTGCATAAGAAAAAAAATGAAATAAAATTTAAGTACTAGTTTTGACTTATGTATTTAATATGCAATAAGTACAGTAAATCATGTAACTTTAATCAACCATTAAGACTTGATAATTATCCAGCATCAAAAAAAGGCTTTTCAAACATACATATTTTCTATCTATTAAATGTTTATTTTTCAAATGGAAGTTGATTGAAGTTGTACTATATAAATTTCTACAACATGTCATACTTATGCAGAAAAACTTTAATCACGTGCGAAGGTGAAATATGTTTTTGTGTATTGGTGTGTATATGTGTCCCATGTGCAAAATTGCACCAAGCCATAACTCACATACTATATAAAACTCTTCATCTGAAAGCATTCTGTAAAAATCTGTTATGGGTAATTGTAAAAATTATATTTATAAATAAATTTATTGAAATCGTGCAAGATTGTGTTTTTAAATTGTGAAATATTTTTCAATGGAATATGCAAAAGAGAGTCAGTCTAATACACCCAAACCTGAATTGGGGCTGAGGTAAGACTCTCCACTATCACCTCTTCGCCACCATCACCCACCTTAAATGAACATCAGAAAAGTAAGTTGTTTGATCCTAATCTCTTGTGTTGATTCATCAGTCATAGTTTGAACCCAATGAGTGTGTATGTGTGTGTGTGTGTGTAGGTATGTATGTGCTTGTATATTTTATGTGCTATAAATAAGTTCCTTTAATATTAATAACAAGATGTACATATCATTAAAAGAGGTATGAAGTAACTATTAACAAACTAATAAATTGTAATCAAATTATTAATCTTATTTATACTACTCTAAAACCTAGAATACATTTATCCATGTATTTATCCTATTAATCTACTTGTTAATCTATAATAAATATTATGAATACTCTAGGTAACTAATTCTTAATTTGCACTAATAAACATTATATTATGTAAATGCTAGTAACTTATAAGGAAGAAATATACTTCTAAGATAATCACAATACACATATACAATTCAATTTCTTTATAACACATTATTGATGATATAGTTAATACTATAAAACAAAAAAGTTGATAAACATTGAAAGAAAGTTCTAATATGCAAACAACATCAATGACTTGTTATTTCAAGAAGTATTTTATCAAATAATTCATGCGATATTTTACACTTTTAGTGTAAACAGACATTAAGAATAGACTTATATAAAATAGACATTTAAAAGATTATGTAATACATATTAAAAGCAGATAATTATGTAAAATATATTAAGTATTATGACTTGGCAATTAACTAACCTTAATAGGTACACATGGATATTCTGGAAATGCTGCAGCAACTGCTCTTGCACCAGCTTCATTTGTATAATGAGACAATCCAACAAAAAATTCACGACCTATAATAATTAGTAGTTCTAGTTAATAATTCTTCTCAATGTTTATCAAATTAATATTGAAAATAAAATTTACCAGTGAACAAGACATCTCCTCCATCTAAACGAGCATTTTTATCAGCTATATCAATAAGTGGAATTTCCAACTCCTTCTTTAAAACTGCTCTAATTGTCTCAATCTGGAATTAGATCATCTTTTCAGTTATTCAAACACTGGAAACATTTCATAATAACAATATCAATACATCTGACAGTATAACAAAATAGCTATAATTTTGTTATGTATATGTACGCAAAATAAATATTCAAATTACAGAATTTTGGAAATTTGATTTAAATTATATATATAATATAAATAAAATAAATTTCGTCAGAATAATAACTATGTATGCAAGCAATATATATTAATTAATGTATAATTTGGCAATTGTACCTCCTTTAGGCGCGATGGTTCATTTGGCCGTGCTATTAATGCAATACCATTACAAACAACTGCAATATCTTCCACAAAAACGCAAAGCGGTGAATTTTCATCCGGTGGCATTTCAACAACATCAATGTCAAGTTCTCGTAAAAGTTGAGCTAATGCCAAATGTTGAGTTCTAGCTTCGTCTAATGTGACCTCGCCTCTTGTACGAAGCGAAAGAGGAATTCTGCACAGAACTGCATGAGTATAACGGTGAAGAGGCATGACGTACAGATAGAACGATTTTCTTACAAAATGTATCTAAACTTTCTCACTTCTCGTGTTTGAAAATTAAAATAACAATTACAATACGAGTTCTACCTCTCTAATAATTTTATTAGAACGCCGAAAGCTACAAATGTAGATTTTGACGTTTATGTAAAAACAACAGTAAGACAGTATTCTAAACGTTTACACGTATAATGTCACCAGATCATAACGTCTAGTAATTTTCAACGCTTTAAAACTTATATTAAGATTTGATTTTCGTTTGCATTCATGAAATTAGATGAAGAAAATTAACGTTTTATAATAGTACAGTAAGCATTTATCAAAAAGTAACAAGATACAAAAATGGTACTTTAATTATCACTATTATATTGTATACAGAAATTGATAGATTGGCAGCACTGAATAGAAATAAATTGAAATATGCAGAGATATCGCGATTTGTCAAACATTCAAACGTAATTTAGAGGTGTTGTGATATTAGAATGAAGTAGAAGAAAATTTAGCATACAATGATATCGCCAAATACGCGATAATTATGCGCCTTAAGTTTCTAAGAACATTGCTAGTGCTTGCACTATTAGGTAATATCATTGTATGGCATAGAATATGGAGGTTATTTGCAACACAAAACACTTTGCGGTTGTTGACACCAAGCGTGGTAACACCTGATCCTCCGCAAAAACTTCATCGTCGCCTATCTCGATTAGTAACTGTGGTTATACGACAGTTTGAAACTTTCGAAAATGATGTGGCTTCTACAGTAGAGTCTGTGTTAAACTTTTTTCCTACTATACCAATTTTAATAGTATGCAATGAGCTACCATATCCTCCATTGGAATTGGATTTTGCAAACGATAGCATGCAAAACGTTAAGATAGTCAATTTGCAGCCAGAATTTAATAAATCTTATGATGAAAGAAGTCCACTTTTTTATATACGTACAAAATATGTTTTATTTTTACCTGATGGTAGCCGACTTTCTACCAAGCAAGTCATGCAAGTAAGCATGTTATTTACCTTTACTGTTTTATTTTAAAACAATTTGATTACTCTTTGAATTAGAATTGTTCTCAATTAGAATTAGTTATTAGTATTAGTATGTTATAATAAATGTTTATTCATAACTTTTTATAGGAGACTATGTCACAAGCAGCAAAGTTAGGAGCAGTCACTATACCAATAGGAAGTGCAACTTTGAGATGCATTAATATAGATTTAAAAGTAAAAGAATGGAGTCTTAAATTTTCACATTTAACTGGCAGTGAATGTGGTGGGGTTAGTGGAAAGCATGCAACAATGCTTGAGACAAAATTATTAAGAAAATTAACTGATCCCTTTTTATTGCCTTTTATGGATGCACTATACATTCAAACAACTGCATTAGGTGCAAAGGTTTGTATTTTATGTTTGACTTTATTTTACTAATTCTTTTAATTAACTCTATCCTTTTTTATTGTTTGTATAATTCAAAAAGAAATCTTCTTTTAATATGGTCCAAATGTAATTATTTGGGTTGAAACTTTTATCTTTTTGTAAAAATTATAAATATAAAGTTTTGTTAATTTTATAAAGGCTTCTTGAGTTTCTAAGATTTGTTATTTCTTTATCTTCATATTATGTTTCTTATATTTGTGATTGATGCTATAGTTAGAGGTATCTAATGTATATACATATATTAACAATTAAGGATGACTTATTACATGTTACCAGATTCATATATTGTCAAATTATCATTTCAACGAAGGAAAGTCATTATATAGAAATCAACAATCACAATGGAAGGTACAGCAATTACATCAAAGTCGTGAGAGATCAATGTTTGAAAAATTGGGAATCAAAAAAGTTATAAGAGATTCCAATGTGATAGAATGGTATGGTTGTTCTAGAGAAAGTAATAGATGTTTTGGATCAGTCATAAATGGTGTTCCATCATATCTCTATAAAAATCGATATACTCCACCTTGTTGCCTCTCAGGATTGAGGAAAGTTGCTCATCATGTATTTGATAAATTAGAAGAAGTTGGAATCAGATTTTGGTTAGAAAGTGGATCTTTACTTGGTGCTATGAGAAATGGTGATATCTTACCATGGGATCATGAAGTACAAATAGGAGTAAATCGCGATGATCTTGAGAGATCACCATGGTTAATTAAAGCTATGAACAAACCTATTGTTGATAATCAAGGTTTTGTCTGGGAAAAGGCAACTGAAGGAGAATTTTTTAAAGTACAGTATTCAAAGATAAACCATTTAACTGTAAACATACTTCCATTTTATGCAAAAAACGGTTCTATGGTTAAAGATGCATGGTTTTTAAACAACAGAGATTTTCCAGAACAATTTCTTCATCCAATGTCAAGTATTGAATTTGCTGGTAGACAAGTACCATGTCCAAATAACATTAGGGATTTTTTAGAATTGAAGTATTTCAAAGGTGTGATAGAAAATCCAGAACTCCCTGGCAATATTTCATTCTAAGATTTTGTTTATTAAAAGTTTATCTTGTAGTAAATGATACATGAAGTTAGAGAGATAATTTTTCCTAAATACGTAATTTAAATTATCCAATCAATAGTTATTTCATCTACAAATATATTTAAGTTTTACAATTTTTTCTCGTCATTTTAAACATCCGAATTAATACATTCTATTAAGAGATTGAATTAGGAATGCATTGTAGTGTTTTCAAATGAGAAATATTATTTTCCGATATTTTATAAAAGATTATGCAATTGTATACTAAACTAAGAATTATTACTAATTTGGGTAGAAGTTTAGTATAAGAACTAAAGGAAGGTTCTATAAAATGTCCTTAAAAATGTAGATGTTATATATTTTCTGATATTTATAATAAATATATAGGTATCAACTTG